TATATCTACTATCAAAATTGTTATTAATATTTTAATTYCAATTTAAGAAAGTGATAAAAAATTAACCTGTGTAAATTAAATTGATATTATCATAAAGTCCAATGCAAGAAGGATAAAAATTATTGCTTAATAACAGTTCTAATCCTAATTGTTTTGCTTGGTAAATATTTGAAACATAAAATACAACCATTCAAAACAACACATAATGAAGATAAACYAACATATTCAGTAGTTAGATAYGTAAAAATATTATTATTTTATAACTAACCTCCGCCTATGTCTACAAATCCGTGTGATTGGGGAATTCTAATCTCTTCATTATCATAGTTTTCCATTGGCATTTCTGTAAAGTTTCCAGTTGAATTGAATAGCCAAAATGTTCTTTGTGTTGTACCATTTGACATTTTTTTGACACCAAATAAATCTACTATCATATTACTGTCATAGTTAATAACCAAAGGTTGATCAACAATAGTAAAAAGTGGTTTATMTTCATTTGGACATGCCAAAACATTTAATCCTCCCCACAGTATATGTACATCTAGATCATTATTTTGTTTATTTGATGAGAACCAATTGGAAAACCCTCCTGAACCAACTGTTATGTTTTTTACAGTAACCAGTAGATCCATAAGAGCATCACCATTGAAGTCTCCTGGCACCACCGATGTAATTTGGTGTTTATTAAACTTGCATTTTGTTTGTGTACCAGGCTTTAAAAAAGGTTCAACATTAGAACCAAACATAATTTCAATAGATCGRCCTTGATCTTTTAGAACAAACATATCTGTAAGTTCATCAGAATCAAAATCTCCAAATGCAGCAGGTTGCCCTTGAACATAGTATCCAAACACAGGATATGTGATATCAATAGAGACACATGTATGACTTAAAGCCACCAATAAGAATATCTGAAATCATATTTAATGAATTGAAAAATTAATTTGTAATATTAATTAAAACTAACAGTAAAATCAATAGGTATTGTATAAAATTTATATTATTTCAGATGAATACAATTACCAATAGGTTTGGGTATAATTTAATATTTATAAAGGTAGTATTTTAATACTTACMGGGGTTGATATCATGATGGCGTCCGCGAATGACTAAGTGAAAAAGTTTTTCAATTTTCACTCAATACTTTATTTACACCATATCAATAATATTGTCTAGTTCATAGGTTACATACAAAAATGGTACACACAATTATAAATTGTTCTTTAAAAATATGTCGYGTTAAATTATTAAATGGATAGTTTTGAAAACACAATGTAAAAATACTATATTTTTAATGATTCTTTTAAGTTTTATTCGTTACAGAATATCGGTATTAGTGGATAATGTATTACTTGCATACCTGTAAGATCTGTATTACAAATGAACAATTACTTATTAAAATAATAAAATATTACATTTTAGTAGTTATTAAACACATAAAAAAATACGTCAAATAAAATTGATGTAGTTTAGTGGTTAATCAATAATCACTTATCATTATCACTATCTGTTGTTTTATTGTGTTCAATAGTCAGTGTTAACAATCATCGTCATCAATGTTCATGTTATCACGGAATAATAAATATTGTATGTTAAATTGTTAAAAAACAAACGTTGTTTATGAACGTTTGAATTAAAATATTTTTAATAATTGAATTTTCATAATAATTTGATTTTTGAGTTAGGTACTCACAAGTCACAGTCATGAGAACTTTAAGATTTTTTTWAAAATTATTTTCTTTTAAAATCTAAACAAGAAAATTGAAATATTAATCTAAAGTTGTTGTAATAGCAGTTCAAAAATATTAAAATTACATGATTTATTTTTTTAAGCATCTTAAGTTCAAATGTTAACAAAATATATTTAAGTCTCAAAAAATGTACAAGTTATTTTGTTGTCAAACATTCATAAAATGTTTAAATTTTATAGCTTAGGAATCATGAACATTTAAAACAAGGTTTGTTAGAATTATTTTATACTGTTACCAAAGTATATGAAAAATATATGCATATAGTTTTTCWTTCATTGATATTTTAAGTTCGAATTTGGGTAAAATACTAAAATTATAGATATTTCGATAATTAAAGAATATAATACCTATGCAAACATTTTAGTTTTTTTGTCGTCATTAAAAATATAACTCATGAGTGAATCTAGGACAAAATATCCAACGGTCAAAATATCCAAATTTATCCGTTTTTACGTAAATTAATAGATTACACATTACTTTCTAATAAAATTAACTCAAATATCAAATTATTTAATTATAAAAATACACCTAGTATATAATAATTATATAAATATACCTACTTAATATATTATATAATTTTTAAATTTTTAGAAAATATTGAAGGTAGTCATTTTTTTAGCAAATTATTACTGTATTCATGAAAA